TGAAGTAAGTGTTCAGATGAAAATAACAAAAATTTAAAAAGGTTGCAAAATGTAAACAAAGTAGTATTTTGACATCAATATAAAATACCAAATCACTTTAACTGTACTTAATTCCAAATAGCAAAAGATGGCTCAGATATATGGTCAATAAATGATATTTTGGAAACTGTAAAAGGACGTCCTTTTGAAATTTTGAAAAATGAAAATATTACCTTTTTAAGCTTAAAGAGCCTTTGGAAAAAAATGTACCTTTAGACCCGCACTTTATAGATCCAGTTGGTAGGTATTTTCAGTCCGACACCTTTACATACATGAACTTGACTATAATAATACTGGTGGGGACAAAAAATGATAAAAAAAATCCTGTAAAATGTATACAGTATTTATCTGCTGCAAAAATCATTATTTGAATTTTGAAAAAAAAAAAGAAAGAAAACAACCCCGAATATTTCCAAAATACTATGAAAGAATTATGTCTATAATTATATTTCTTTAAAAGCGAAATCATTGCTTTTTCAACAAATTAATATAACTGCATTGCAAGTGCTCTGAAATAAAAAAAAACCTTGATAAATACATACCTTTCTCTTCTTTCACAGGTTCACTCTTCTCTGCTTTAATGTCTTCTGTCTTCTAAAACCATAAACAAAAGCATAACTAGCAGGTATTACAACACTAAACTTTTCTACAATTACTACTTTAACAAAAATTCCAGGCAACATTATTTTTACATTTAATGAAATGTACAAACACAGGTATAAATGGGTTACCCTGGAATAATTTCTGATTTTTTATTTCAGCATTTTAACATTATAGTGCTTAACTTCACCAACCAAAATGCATGAAATTATCAGGGTGCTGTTGGACAGGACTCTCCATTTACAATGGTGATAAAAAAAACCCCTATCTTACACCTACACTGTAAGACAATTTGCGTGTGTTAAATGATGTCATTCCTGTGCATGCGTCTTTTACTAATGTATTGCATCCTTAGAATGTCATTTTGCCATTTTGAATGAAGTTACACTTCTAAAAGAAAAGGGAAATGCTAAATGAAAATATTATAGTGTTCACAATTTCTTTCTCAATTATGATTATTGTAGTTAAATGCAAGAAAAAGAATCAAACACTGGCTGTCATCATAGGCCGGCAGATCTAGCTTGAGGGTAACCGCCGTCAACAATTACCATTGAGATAGATATCCTTGTCAGTTCCTGGCTGGTGTAATCAAATTGCTCATGGCATATATTTACCTTAGAACAGGTAATTGCCTCTTCATCTAAAAGTTCTAAAGTTCGTTCAAACTCATCATCACTGTGCATTTCTATGTCATCTACCTCCATCCTTATACTCTCCTTTTTCTCTTCCTTCTGAATTGAGAATTAATCTAGGTCACAATTATTTAGAATTTCCTTAATATCAGACTTATAATAGGTTATTTATCATATCAACTGATGATGCTTATTAAAGCAAAACATGCCTTGATAAACTTTGTTAGTTTGTGATCTTTTTATCCTAATTAATATCCGACTGACTTTTATCTTCACAAACTATTATCAATATGTAATTTGGAAAAGAAAAAAGAATGGAAAGAACAGTGCTATCGCCTAAAACAGTTAGCCCAAAGTCAGATATTCGAGGCAGGTAATGTAACTTTCTTAGTAATTTCATATATACATTGGTAAAACAGTTTACATACATTTGTGTTTTCACAATGCTTTCTCTTTTTTTTCCCTCCAGAAGAACTTTACAGGAAATAATAGGACTTGTTACTTATACCTTTTCTTGTTTTCTCTCAACATGTATAATCTTTCTCTCCACTCGATGTATTGATGACTTCCCAAAGAAATCCGTAACTTTCACCTCCTGACCTTTCACCTCTTGTTTTTCTGCTTCAGTCTTGCGTTTAGCTGTTTTACTTGGGCTTGGACTTGTTAAAAAATTATCCAGGAAGGTTTTCTTTGGTTTAACTTCCTCTTCAATGCATTCTTCTAAAAGGTAAGAAATATTCATTTTTCTGACAAAAGGGTTTCATTTCTTGTCTTGTTTTATAGCAGCTATTTAAAAGGTCAAATTACCAATGAAAGATAAAAACGACAATGTTTTCATACTTGGAAAGGACTAAAAATGGCTAAAAAAGTGTCACAGTTTTAACATAATGTTGGGACACAAGTTGTTTAACAAGTATGCTCTGACTGACCACATTTTAAAAGTATTGTGCTTTAAAATCACATCATCCCACTGAAAAAAGTTGCAAATTACTCAAGTACCCGATTACTAGGTAAAAATATATTTTTTTTGTTACACTATGACCAGTTTGTAATAAGCAATAAAAATAATCATACACTCACTGCCATAACAGACAGGAATAGCTGGCTCTCAAGTAACTGCTTGCAGTGCCTTGTTACCACCTTAAACATTTACTCTCGAGCCCGATATTCCAGTCTGTACCGGCTTCCAGTGTAACAACATACCAGCTCCTCCTATATGAACCACCGTCTGCTTCTTCTTGGATTTTTTTTGCTTTTTGTCTTTTGGAAAAGGGTCCTCATCTGAATCTGTAATAAAAACTTACAAACTTAACGGTCATAATCTTATAAAGATTTAACAGTAAATAGTTTTTTTTACACAAGGTTTTAGGAATATTGGAACTGAATTTGGAAGTGAACAGTCAGTGACACCAGTACAGAAAAATGCAAACCTTTACATCCATGACCAAGTTTTGTCTTGATATAAGCCAAATAAATTATGACAACACTTTAAAAATATGAAAGCTAGGGAAAGTCTATTAAAGGAAAGGCCCCTTTCCAAATCCAGAATAAACAGTTCTCACCTTAAAAATAAACAAACAAAAAACCTAAAAATATTTCAAATACAACCCCAAAATATGTTTGTAAGCAAGTAGGGGAAAAATTCCAGATTTCCAGACCCCTTCCCTTATAAAGGTTTTGACCACTTTAATTTATAGTTTAACAGCTTTTACTTTATCAAAATAAACACTAGCCACTGACTTTTAAGGTCAATTTCAGGTTGAACTTGGACCCATTCCACACCTAAAAAGTATAATTTTCCCCCAACTATAGAATAATTTTCCCTTAAAATTTAATAAATTAAGAAAAACTCTAAAATATTTTGCAGTAATTTAAACTGAAGAAAGCAGTATTGATATGTTCAGTGTCACTCTTCAGTAACTACCTTAATAATTAATTGAAATATAGACAATTCTTGCATCTTTTTTTACATTTATAATTATGTTGCCCAATAATGGCAATATATTCTAAATCAATTTTGTTTTGTTTAATTGTGTTTTCCGTCACACTGACACATTATAGGTCACACTCAATATATTCAGCTACTTAATCAAGGACATATTGAGTCACCATGTGACATCAAAACATCCAACGAGAAAGAAGTATTTTGTAGTCAGTGTGACATATTTCAATATCTCACTATCAACACTGACCTGAGTCAAGAAGTTTCTGTATTTTCTTTCCTTTCTTCTTCATGGTTTTTGATTTTCTAACAACCATGTCATCATCATCGTCATCTTCAATCTTTACATCAAAGTCGTCATCACTTGATACCTAAATATATCAAAATGCTTTTAGTTATCTTGCAAATATATCAAAATTTTACAGTCAAGTTTAATTCCAAGTTATTACAGGGTGTTCGTTTGACCCTTGAAATGACTCTTTGACCCTTCAAATTTCCAAAAGGCCTAATTTGACACTCAGGATTTTAACTGGAGGGTGTTTTTTCTCCAAAATGTTTTTTTTCTAGCAAAATTATATAATAATTGAGTTCAAAATATTTTATTTTAGGCCTAATCTATAACACCTTTAGCTAGGCCTTTCTATTTCACTCAGCTTGTTTTTAAATGGATGTTCACTAACTTTATTAATATTAAAAGCCAAAAAAGGAAATCTGAAGGTAGCTAGCAGTAAATTCATCCATAGTAACTTTTAAGAATGGTCTAGTTATATATTTAGCAGCAGCAAGTTTTTCTCTTATCGGCAGGGGCTTATGGAAGCCAGGCATTGTAGAACTTTCTATAATTGTATGCAAAGTAGATCTGCAAACCAATGTGAGATTTTGGTTGTAAATTTTATATTTGTATCAAAAATCATATAATCTACATATAGAGCAGACTTTTTATTTTATCAAATTGTACCCAAAACATACAAACAAAAAGTTACCAAATTTTTCAGTCATAAAGCCAAACAAATTCAATTTTTAGGTATAATTAGTTAGTACTCACCTCTTTCTTTCTTTTCTTTCCTTTTTTCTTCTCAACAGGAACTTCTTCCACATCTTTTTCCAGACCTTTTTTCTTTGCTTTATCTTTCTTTTTATCCTTCACAGGTGCTTCAGGAAGAGAATCATCATCTATTTCAATGACATCTTCACTAATATCTATGTCCACTTTCTTTTCAGATTTTCTCGATTTGTTTTTACTGTCACTTTTATCACGACTTTTATCCCTACTTTTGCTTTCTTTTTTCTTCTTAGAATCATTTTCATTCTTTTTATTCCCATTTATATCACTGTCTTTTGTATTAACTTTATTTGAGATGGGAAGGTCATTTTTATGATGTTCTTTGCCATTCTTGATTTTCGTCAAACCAGTGTCAGAGTCCTTACTTTTTTCTGCTGTTGACCTATTTTCAGTCTTCTTGGCTGCACCTAAGCTGAAGAAATTCCTTATATCTGATTTACTCTGCAAATAAAAAACAACAACATAAACATAACAATGTAAATTTATATGCGACAAGAAAATATGAAAATGACACATATGCCCCCTCTATCTTACCTTTAATGGGTAGCAAGAATAAGCACCCATTATGACATTCACAGAGAAACTCATTATGTAAGGACTAAGGGTATGTGTTTATGAAAAAAGGCAAAAAAAAAAGTTAACATTTTTCTTAAAAAAAAAAACAGTAGGTTTACAACATTTTTAATAATCATAGTCATTTCTAGTTTCATATGATATGATACAAAACAAGGTGAATGTGACCTTGACCTTTGGCCCCCTGCTCCTATAACCAATGAGGATCATCTACTGGTAGAGATCAATGCATCAATGAAGTTTGGGGGCCATGAGCAGTTGAGCATACGGGTTGTAGAGTTATTGCTCGGAAACGATTTTTACAAAGTGGACATGACCTAGACCTTTGACCCAAAAATCAAAAGGGCTCATCTACTGGCAAAGATCAATGCACCTGTTAAGTTTGAGGGCAAAGGGCCCATAGGCTGTAGAGTTGTAGGTCTCAAACTGTTTTGACATAAAAGGTCATTGTGACATTGACCTAAAAATCAAGGGGTCTACTGGCCAAGACAAATGCATAGATCTGTGAAATTATACTTATAATAAAGGGTGAAGGGTCCATGGGTTGTTAAGTTATTGGTCGGAAATCGTTTTGATATAAAAAGTCAATGCCACCTTGACCTTTGATCCAAAACACAATAGGGTTCATCTACTGGTTATGACCTATCTCAATATAATACCAAGTTTGAAGTTTCTTTCTAGGACTAGGTGTTCTTAAGTTATTGATTGGAAACATTTTTGTTTACTGGCCAACAGACTGACAAACACACGTTTTGATGTACATAGCAAAATACATTGATTGATGAAAAAATTGGGCACAAAATATACCCTATTTAACAGACCATGTTGACCTTTGACCTCCAAGTGTGACATTAACCTTTGAGGTAGGGGTCAGGTGTTGCTCATGACACATCATCTTATTATTGTGAACATTTATGCAATGTTATTTCAAAATCCCTTAACCTATGAAAATGTTATAGCCTGCGCATGCAATGTCAGTGATTTCTTTTTTCAATTTTCAAAATAACCTATGGCTTTCTGAAGGGGAATATATAGCGTGATAAATCAGAAAAGGGGGAAATCAAATTCCAACCACTGAGAATAGAATTTACCCATACATTTGTAACATTTATATTTTCTATTTGGATGGCTTACTAGCACACCAACTAAACAAGACCCGAAGGATGGTTTATATATTTTATTATATGTGTTGCATCCAAGTATACACTCATAAACTCCCAAACATCAAGTAAACATACACACAGTAACAATAACGATATTTGATATTAAAGGCGTGGCTTATTATATCTTGTAGACTTGCTTACTACAACATTAAAAAAAAATTCAATTTCAATTCAATTTAACATGCATGGTACTAGCAGAGGCTATCTATAGGGACAGCTGATATAAGTCAGCGGATGTTAAGTCATCGTTCTGGTGAAGAATGTGCTCAAGGGTTTTAGGGGAAAATATTAGCATTTTTAGGGGGAAATATACCTTATTTTGGGCTAGGGGAAACAGCCTTTATTCGACTGTAAAATACAGGGGAAAAAACACTGTGCATATACCCTCCAATAGATCACTGTGTGACAGCCATTTGTTTATCGGCTGTATAAGGACTAATTAAATATAACGATTTAGCATAGGATTCCATATTATCAGCCTGTTTTCTGTATGTTTGCATTTAATTTAATTGATGTTTTTAATAATGAATGTTTTGTGTGAAGCAGAAAAAATTCAACTACTCCTTACATTATTTATTAAATGATGTCAAAGATTTTTTAACTTCACTGTATATATGACCGCACACAACAAAATACTGAGAGTATGTTGGTAATAGAGTTGCACCGGTAATATAAGAGTTATAGTATAATCATGATTTTTGTGGATGTGACAAAGGCATATGTCAATGGACTTTGAAAATATTTGAACTATTACAAAAACTTTAACGTAAATTCTAAGTCAAACAAGAGGGCCATGATGGCCCTGGGGTCGCTCACCTGAACAAAGGCCCTCAGGGCCGGGCCAGTTTAAACCAAAGAGCTTTTATTTGAACAAACTTGGAAGACACCCATTAAAAGATATTTCATGATGTTAAGATTTTACTATACACAAATTATGAATAACAATGACTTTTGACCCCCCCCCTCCCCCTGGCAGGGCCAATTTTAACCCAAGGGCTTTTATTTGAACAAACTTGGTAGACATCCATTAGAACATGTTTCATGCTAAATATCTCAGCTCTAGCTCTTTGGGTTCTTTAATAGAAGATTTTTAACTTTTTACTCTATGTATATAGGGAAAATCAATGACCCCTGGGACGGGGCCAATTTTGACCCCAGGGCTTTTATTTGAACAAATTTTGTAGACACCCATTAGAACATATTTTATGCTAAATATCTTAGCTCTAGCTCTTTGGGTTCTTTAAAAGAATTTTTTTTTAAGTTTTTACTATATGCATATAGGGAAAATCAATGACCCCCTGGGGCGGGGCCAATTTTGACCCCAGGGCTTTTATTTGAACAAACTTGGTAGAAACTGATAAGAAGATGTTTCATGCTTAATATCTTAGCTCTAGCTCTTTGGGTTCTTTAAGAGAAGATTTTTTTAAGTTTTTACTATATGCATATAGGGAAAATCAATGAACCCTGGGGCGGGGCCAATTTTGACCCCAGGGCTTTTATTTGAACAACTTGGTAGACATCCATTAGAACATGTTTTACACCAAATATCTAAGCTCTAGCTATTTGGGTTTTTTAGAAGAAGATTTTTAAAGTTTTTACTATATGCATATAGGGAATGACCCCCTGGGGCGGGGCCAATTTTGACCCCAGGGCTTTTATTTGAACAATCTTGGTAGACACTTATTAGAAGATGTTTCATGCTTAATATCTTAGGTCTAGCTCTTTGGGTTCTTTAATAGAAGATTTTTTAAAGTTTTTACTTTATGCATATAGGGAAAATCAATGACCCCCTGGGGCGGGGCCAATTTTGACCCCAGGGCTTTTATTGAACAAACTTGGTAGACATCCATTAGAACATGTTTAATGCCAAATATCTAAGCTCTAGCTCTTTGGGTTTTGTAGAAGAAGATTTTTTTAAGTTTTTACTATATGCATATAAGGAAAATCAATGACCCCCTGGGGCGGGGCCAATTTTGACCCCAGGGCTTTTATTTGAACAATCTTGGTAGACACTTATTAGAAGATGTTTCATGCTTAATATCTTAGGTCTAGCTCTTTGGGTTCTTTAAAAGAAGATTTTTTTAAGTTTTTACTATATGCATATAGGGAAAATCAATGACCCCCTGGGGCGGGGCCAATTTTGACCCCAGGGCTTTTATTTGAACAAACTTGGTAGACATCCATTAGAACATGTTTTATGCCAAATATCTAAGCTCTAGCTCTTTGGGTTTTTTAGAAGAAGATTTTTTTAAGTTTTTACTATATGCATATAAGGAAAATCAATGACCCCCTGGGGCGGGGCCAATTTTGACCCCAGGGCTTTTATTTGAACAATCTTGGTAGACACTCATTAGAAGATGTTTCATGCTTAATATCTTAGGTCTAGCTCTTTGGGTTCTTTAAAAGAAGATTTTTGAAGTTTTTACTATATGCCTATAGGGAAAATCAATGACCCCCTGGGGCGGGGCCAATTTTGACCCCAGGGCTTTTATTTGAACAATCTTGGTAGACACTCACTAGAAGATGTTTCATGCCAAATATCTAAGCTCTAGCTCTTTGGGTTATCTAGAAGAAGATGTTTAAAGTTTTTTCTTTTGGTTGCCATGGCAACCAGAGTTCTGCATGGAATGGAATTCTTTGAACAACTTTGTTAAGGCTTCACACAAGGAACATCCCTGTGAAGTTTCATTATGATCTGCCTTATGGTTTCAGAGGAGATGTTGTTTGAAAAGTGTGAACGGACAACGGACGACGTACGACGGACAAAGAGTGATCCTAATAGCTCACCCTGAGCATATGCTCAGGTGAGCTAAAAAGGGGCATAATTCTGTCAAAATGCTTGATAGAGTTACCTCCTCCTGTTTACAGGTTGGGGTCATGATGGTGAACAAGTGTGCAAAGTTTCAAAGCCATATGTCAATGGACTTTGAAAATATTTGAACTATTAAAAAACCTTTAACGTAAATTCTAAGTCGAAAAAGGGGCATAATTCTGTCAAAATGCTTGATAGAGTTACCTCCACCTGTTTCCAGGTTGGGGTCATGATGGTGAACAAGTGTGCAAAGTTTCAAAGCCATATGTCAATGGACTTTGAAAATATTTGAACTATTACAAAAACTTTAACGTAAATTCTAAGTCGAACAAGAGCTGTCGGTAGGACAGCAACGCTCGACTATTCTTAGTGCTTGATAGTAAAAAAAATGCTTGATACAGTTACCTCCTCCTGTTTACAGGTTGGGGTCATGATGGTGAACAAGTGTGCAAAGTTTCAAAGCCATATGTCAATGGACTTTGAAAATATTTGAACTATTACAAAAACTTTAACGTAAATTCTGAGTCGAAAAAGGGGCATAATTCTGTCAAAATGCTTGATAGAGTTACCTCCTCCTGCCTACAGGTTGGGCTCATGATGGTGAACAAGTGTGCAAAGTTTCAAAGCCATATGTCAATGGACTTTGAAAATATTTGAACTATTACAAAAACTTTAACGTAAATTCTAAGTAAAAAAAGGGGCATAATTCTGTCAAAATGCTTGATAGAGTTACCTCCTCCTGTCTACAGGTTGGGGTCATGATGGTGAACAAGTGTGCAAAGTTTCAAAGCCATATGTCAATGGACTTTGAAAATATTTGAACTATTACAAAAACTTTAACGTAAATTCTAAGTCGAAAAAGGGCATAATTCTGTCAAAATGCTTGATAGAGTTACCTCCTCCTGTCTACAGGTTGGGCTCATGGGTGAACATGATGCAAAGTTTCAAAGCCATATGTCAATGGACTTTGAAAATATTTGAACTATTACAAAAACTAGCGTGTACGCAAGTTTTCAAAAGCCATATATGTCAAATGGACTTTTGAAAATATTTGAACTATTACAAAAAACTTTAACGTAAATTCTAAGTCGAAAAAGGGGCATAATTCTGTCAAAAATGCTTAATAGAGTTTACCTCCTCCTGTTTACAGGTTGGGGTCATGATGGTGAACAAGTGTGTAAAGTTTCAAAAGCCATATGTCAATGGACTTTGAAAATATTTGAACTATTACAAAAACTTTAACGTAAATTCTAAGTCGAAAAAGGGGCATAATTCTGTCAAAATGCTTGATAGAGTTACCTCCTCCTGTCTACAGGTTTGGGTCATGATGGTGAACAAGTGTGCAAAGTTTCAAAGCCATATGTCTATGGACTTTGAAAATATTTGAACTATTACAAAAACTTTAACATAAGTGGTTATGCCGACGCCGACGCTCGGGTGACTGCAATAGCTCTACTTATTCTTATCGAATAGTCGAGCTAATTAATCAAAATCAAAGGAAATCTTGTGTTGTACTTCTAAGACACTTTTCGGTTTTAATTTTTACGCGTAAAAATCGGCACAGTCCGTACAGTGCATTTTCACCTCCTCCCTGTCATATACCAATGATTCGCAGTCCTGCTTACATTTTTCATTAAATTTTGTCTCAGTCTAATCTTTTCATCCTTTTTAGTTTTACTGCTGTTCTGCATGCTCCTCTGTCGTAGATTTTCATTTTTTTTCCAGGTTTGTCACCTAAGGGACACCCTTTTGTATACATGCGAGTGATGCGACTTGGATAAATGCCTGTACAGTTGGACTGATCCGGAATAAAAAATCGTCGGACCTAATCAAAATTTATCGGATATGTCCGTCGGACCACAGGCGCTTGTCACATAATCAAATATTTTACATAAACGGTCTATATATGTATATAAAGATATAAGGCCCCCAACGCAACAAAAACATCATGCAGACCAAACAAGAACACTGCTGCAATAAACGACCAGATCGCGGTTATCTCTTTCTGGTCGCCATCTGAAAGGATCAATCCAAGTGCCAACGCTTTTTATTTCATTAAAATCCCTCAAATAGCAAAGAAATTGGGAAAAGTTTCGCAAAATGCCATTATTTTCAATTCATGTCGTTTTCGACGTCCAGTTCATTCATGTATACAAACACGATTTCTGATCGATTTTTACGAAAAAAAACCAAAAAACGGCTAGAATTTCCACGTACGTTCCATAAACAAACTCTTTTCCTATCAATCTGTGAAGTCTTCACTGATCAAATGCCCTCTTCGTACGTAATTGATTATTCATTAAAAAATACACAAGGATCTCGCTTGTGACAGTATTTTATCGCCATGTATAGCGCATGTATATACTGTTCCGCTCTGAATATTATATAAGGATTTGATTGGTTAAGATAATTATCGGAATACTATTGACCAATCGTATTATACTATTTCTTTGCTTCATTTATCTGTCACTTCAAATTACAAATGGCGCACTTTACTTGACCTCCGCTTCTACAACCAATATTTTTTAAATATTTGAGTACAAAGAGGGCTCTAGTTCAATTTAGACTTCGCAGATTGATAGAAAAAGAGTTTGTTTATGAATTTTATGAGGAAATTTTAGATGTTTTCTATTTATTTCGTAGAAATCGACCAGAAATCATGTTTGTATACATGAATAGATTGGACGTCGAAAACGACATGGATTGAAAATATTGGCATTTTCTTAAACTTTTACTCATTTCTTTGCTATTTGAAGAATTTTAATGAAATAAAAAGCTTTAACGCTTGGATTGATCCTTTCAGATGGCGACCAGAAAGAGATAACCATGATCTGGTCGTTTCTTTCAGCATTGTTCTTGTTTGTTCCGCATTATGTTTTTGTTTCCTTGGGGGCCTTATATCTTTATATACATATATAGACCGATTATGTAAAATATTTGATTATGTGACAAGCGCCTGTGCGTCGGACCGACGTATTTCGAGAAGTCTGCAATATGACGTGGCTTTGCCAGAAGTAAAAATATCTCAAAGCAACAACATATAGGACTTGTTCGTGCAACAGTGACAACCTGATACAGAACAAGGACTGAGCAATGTAGTGTCATCAACTGACCACATAGTGTCTGTGGTCAACTGGTGCGACTTATACATCTTTACCGGTACATGTCTACGTCCCCGCGAGGGTTTTGACATTGACGGAAAATAGATAGAAGCGAAGTTCCGAAAGTGGCATATTCAATCATGATATTATCCTGTTTATAACAAATTATCAAAAAACGAATCAACAGGTGACCTACATGATGAACATTATGAAAATTTAATATGGTAAATTATGATGAATCTGAATTCTAAAAATATGCAAAATATAGCCTTTGGAGAAATTTCCTCCCATCAACATACCATGATTTTTAAAGGTTCAGAGGCTTTTCGAACTTATTAACTTGCAAAAAATGATTTGTGTACATTTCGCGCCAAATAACGTATTGCGCATGCGTCAAGGATAGCTTAAACCCGTCCCATTTATTCTCGTCCCATTTCCGGGATTTTCCCGTACTCTGATGGTTTCGGCCCACTCAATTCTCGCCTCTTTATTTTATAGTAAATCAGACAATTTTGAAGCTTAAAATGAGATCAGAAATATATAATGTTAGCCATCTAGATGCTCAAGAAAATAAATTTGTTTTGTCCTGTTCAATAAGTCATGTCTGCTGGCGCATTGTTCATATTTCACAAAGTGCTCAGAGGTGTGATGCCAATGTGTCCGTCGTTGGCAGTTGTCCACATTCTTTTCAGCAATATCTCTTCCTTAGTTACTTGTTGTATTTTGTCCAAACTTAGTAGGAATGATCCTTAGGTGGTCGTTTACAAAAATTATATTTAAAAATGGTTCCAGTCAAATGCTTTAGTAAGTTACAATAGTTAAAAATAGACTTTAAAGATGAAATCTTTAAAAATCTGTTTATTCTCGGAAACTATAATGCTAAAAGCTTATATGTTTAGTATGTGGAAGAAGAGGAAGAAGAAGAAGACGAAGAAGAAGAACAAGAACAAGAACAAGAACAAGAAGAAGAATCAGAAGATGAAGACGAAGAAGAAGACGAAGATGAAGAAGAAGAAGACAAAGAGAACAAAGAAGAAGCTTTATTCTTTCATAAATATCACGTACACACATACATACATAGACGCACGCACACGCGCGCACGCACGCACGCGAGCGCGCGCGCACACACATACATACATACATACATACATACAAACATACATACATACATACAGTTGAGTTACAGCACTGTCTGGTAAATATTTCCACTTATTTTCTCACTTCACTTCGTTCGCTCGAAAATTAATTTCTTGCAACTCTATAACCTATACATAAAGTAAACCAGCTATCACAAATTAAATCTAGCTAGAGGTCTGAATTAATAGCGCAAATTGATTAATCATAAAAAAATGAAATTTGTTCTTTGCTTTTTTATGTCAAAGAAACTATACTCTGATATTGATGCGGATTTTCCTTGGTCGAGATTTGTGCTTGTTACTTTAAATAGATTCTCTCGGTTTGTTATGCCAAGTTATTGGATTTTTCAAACAATCATCAATTCCGTGCCTCATGAATGATTTCTGTAAGAATAAAAGATCAGTTTATTTAGAGTTGACAATTTTCAATGTATGAAGGTATGAATCCAGTTAATGTCTAAATTATAGAATTTTTAAACTGAATATGATTTTGAAAAAATACTTTAACATTTTACCATCTGATTTAGCAATGGCTTTTTATCAAATTGAGATGTATGAACCAAAAATGCCATTTGAAACAGGCAGATTTTATAATTTGGATAGAAGTTCAAGAATTTGTGGTTTATGTTCTAATAATCAGTTAGGTGACGAATTTCATTATTACATGTATCTAATTGTTCCTTTTTCACGACCTGAGAAACATATTTACACAATTCTTATTTTCATAATCCTAACATTCTTAAATTTTCATAGTAATTAATGGTGAAAGCAAAAAAGTCTTTCTAAATCCAGCAATCTCCTGAAGAAAAATATTTTTGTAATACATAACGATCTTATTCTCCTATTCTAAAATTGCAGTTGTGTTACTCATTTTCTTATGTACATACATTTGTTCAAAGCATTGCCTTATTTTCATTTCAGAACCGAATTGATGTCACTTTACTTGGTTTTGTAACTTTTTTTTATATTTTTGTTTTCTCACATGCCCAATTGGACATTCAGGTATCAATAAAATTTTGAAATTTGTAGATCATTAAAAATTAATACCTTGAAAAAAGAACATTGCAAAAAGAACATTGGAAATTAAACGATATTGTTAAAAAGATCATGTGGTTTTAAATTGTTTCCATAACATTTGATTTAAACTTTCATGATTAAGTTCAATTATCTAGAGTTATCAGTGTACATAATAAAATCATCAAGAAAAAAACAAACAACTAAAGACACACAAAGCAAAGAAAAAAAAACGCAAACGTGATCAGCTTTGATGTCATCATTTTTTTGCCCTCTAGAAATCGTGTGTTGATCATTTTCCGTTTCATTCTCTTTTCGTTTAAAGTGATTATGTTGTTTAATACGAGTATGGCTATATTTCAATTCATTTTCTTTTTTAAACTTAAAACTTTAAAACTTAAATTGTAATTATCTTGTAATAATTTTATAATGTGATTGCCGTCCAAGAAATTATACACTTTAGGTATTATTATTTTTTTTATAGGGGAACTGTTACCTCTTGAGAGCCAGTTTCTACAATTTAATAAAATTTGAATGAGACAAACACTCTTTTGTTTAACATGCTTTTCTTACATGTTCAGTCGTAAATTTCTTTTGAAACAAGGGAACAGCGTGATCACGTGACCAAAAATTCCTTAGGAAGAGTATATATAGTAAGATTTATATGGTTTTTATGTTGTTTTAAAAAAGCATTCATATAGTGATATACTAGTCGTGAGTGTTCATAATTTTGAAAATTAAAAAATATGAATGTCACAGATTCTACTTTCAATATTACTTCTACTGGAAATGAGAGCTCGACTAATAGTAGTGGCGATGAAAACACAGGTCAGTTTTCATTTTATACGTGGCCGGATATTTATATTCTCATTGATGAAATAAACAGAAAATATATTCTTATAATAGTTGTGTTAATTGCGTTGCTTGGCAACACGCTCAATCTGATGGTCCTTAGCCGGAAAAACTACAGGAATAATTCTACAGCCGTGTATCTTCTAAGCCTTGCAGCATCGGATTTGACAATAACTTTTTTATGCTCGTCAACTGGCTAGATAAGTTTGACCTATCTAAATTGAATACCCTGACATGCAGGCTTTACCATAGTCTGGATTACCTGCCCTTTGTCTATTTGTTTACAATAGAAGCTGGGAACCAGATTAGCTTTACCACATCCTGTATGATTTAGGACTTTATACCAACCCGTGGATTATGAGCATGGTATCAATAGAGAGGGCGATCAGTGTGTGCTTGCCACACAAAGTCAAGTTCGTTTGCACGTTAAACCTTGCTCGTGGCAATACCATCTTCTTATGGATCTTCTCTATAACTATATTTAGCATATACACGCAAATCATTGTCGGTTATCCGAACCCAATGGGAAAAATCGAATGTGCAATTCTTCAACAGAACTTTCATATTTTGAATATCCATAGCATTGCCAACATATTTGTCCAATTCTTTCTTCCTTATGTATTTATATTGGGTTCAACAATCCTGATTGCTGTTGTTTTATACACAAAAACAATGAAGAAGTCAAAGTCCGTCGGTGAACAAAATCTTATTGTAACAAAAAAGTTGCTGATGATAAATTTAGCTTTCATTATATGTGTTACACCAGTTATGGTTGTTGAATCATTGGATACATACAGACAACAATTTGACGATTATAATTACGATGAATATTTGAACAACTCATTCTATACGGAAATTTTCAGGACAATTAGAGGCATAAATAGCGGACTCAACTTTTTTATCTATTTTTTTAATGGTACGAAATTCAAAGCTGACACGCTAGCCTTGTTGAGAATAAAATCATGCCGAAAACAAACTAGGTTCTAAATGTACAGTGTGACCACCTTTCGTGAAGCCCTAAACGACTTAACAAACTTTCACATGGATACACTTTGTCCAGATATTGATAAGGAGGGATTTTCAACCCCGGTTGAATACATTCTTCTAAGACTTAATATAAGAAAAATTAATCCATGTTTTTTTTTGTTTTTTTTTTTCGAAAAATACACTTTGTGCCTCCATTAATACTCATAAAATGAAAATATTTTAATGACAATGCTTTTAAGGACAAGCTTATATAATATATTCACGGTCAACAAACAAATATCCATTTTCATCAACTCAGTATATGTGTTACATTGTTATTATTTTTATTTTTGTCTTTGTTGTATAATTATAGGTGTGTGTCTTTTTCCCAATAAAGAAACTTTTATTATTATGTTAACTTTTATTTGAATAAGGCGTCTATGGCCGAGTGATTAAGGACGTTGACTATTAACCATTTGCTCTCCACCGTTGTAGGTAAGAAGGTTCGCCAGGGACTTTGGAGCTAGCTAACGGAATGTCGATGATTCTTCTCACGTGCCCGCTCGTGTCTGAAATAATGCACAGAAGTTCACCTGAGGTTTTCCAGTAAAGCTGGCAAGTCGCCATATGATCTTTAAGGTGTTGGTAAAACGCAAAACGCAACAAAAAATGCATTTATACATTTCTTACATTGTCTCGCATAATCTATGATTATTGTTAATGTTTGTTTGATGTAATTATTATTATTATTATTGGTGTTGTTGGATAGTCTCCATTTGATCGTGCGACGTAAAACCCAACAACAACAAAACAATCATTTTACTTTCTTTCATAATCTCGCATAATCTATGCTTATTATAAATGTTTGTTTGTTGTAATAATGAGTATAGATTAACCTATTTGATATCCTTTTAACTCTAAGAAAAATGTTCTGTTATAAAAGTGCTGACTGTTTTTGAACTTTATATCATCTAGGAAAAGTAAGCCAAACCATTATTTTCTTATATTTGACAGGAATGAAATGCATTAAAAATCCTAGATATTAATAATACATATGATTACATTTTTTGGCTCGAAAACTCATTGTAAATGGACCCCCTCCACCTGTAAACCTAAATTGATAAACAGAAAAAAAAAAGATCTTATCTGTTTTTCAAAGGAGCAAATATATAGTAATTTTAGATTTTAGTTAATAACTTGCATCAAATAACGAATTTGTATCAATTAAAAAGCTCAAATGTATTTTCCCACAATTTCCATTTATTTTAAAAGAATGAAACACATTTCATTAACTCCATTGTATTTAACTAATCGTATCATTTTCCCGCTTTTTATTCGAACATTTTATGGAAACATGATAGTCTTACTATAGACAAAGTTATAAATTCGGGGCAATCTTTTAATAAGACATTTCTATGGTGACTGATTTGGTATATTGCGCGTTGCGTTGTCG